GGGGTGGTGGTGCTTGTTCTTGGTGTATTGCCTTGCCTGTGCATGTCTCTGGATGGATTGGTTGGTTAGCGAAAGGAAGTATCGTAAATTGAACCAGCCTTGAAGTAACGGCTATGCTGTGGTATAAGAATAAGTACCAGTAATAAAACTTGTGATTCGCAACCTTGCAGTAGCGGCTTGTACTGGTACCAACATTGCTTCAAGCATTCAGCAAAATGCCAGTTTGGCCTGGTCAACTAGAAAGAACACACCGTACGGTCAAGGAGATTGCCCTCAATGTGCAATCTCCATGACCAAACAAGCCAATCAATCTCTTTGACTGGATTACCCTAGAAGGCCTTCAAAGTGAACAATCGAGATTATCACGGTACATGAACCATGCCTTCCATTCCACACACTAAAGAATCTTCAAGTCAGTCCACCCAACCAAAGCCAACAATAAATATGCCAGGTCAAAGCTACAGCAACAAGAGCCTCCTTCATCACATGAACCACCTCCCCGCGGCGTATTTCGATTGGTTGTTGGTGGCCGTCTTATCCAGAAAGGGTCCGACGAACCAATGGCGTGCGTCGACAAACCACCAGACGAGGAAGAAGGAAACTACCACGAAGATTCCGACACACGCGTAGTTGAAGTTGCTTGCGGTGATGGGGAAGACCATTGGTAGCATAAAGATGCTGACTGTTTCAAGGACAAAGAGAATGGCTCCAATGTTGATCAATTTCCTGCACTCCAATAGGCAGAGGGTGAGTGAGAGATAGAGAGAGGAGGGGAGGGGTGGAGGTGAATGAGTAGTGCCTTTTGCAAGGGTTAGAGAAGAGGAGAGAGACCATGGTTTAGGGAGGAGGGGTGAATGAGCAGTGCCGTCTGCAAGGGTTAGAGAAAAAGACAGAGATCAACTCTTATGCCCCATGCACACACTCGTACCAGGCTCGCACAGACCGAGGCAGAGCATTGCAGCAAGGCAAGGCAAGTCTTGAAAGGTCTCAAGAAACCCACATGAGGTATACATACGAGTTTCGAGACATGTCAAAAGATGTTCGCACCAGGAGCAAACCGACTGAGAGAGTGAGCACTGCTGCACCAAACCAAGCCATGCCATGCCATGCTGTGCTTTCTAACTCACCTGCCCCACGCACCCTCTCCCGCCCTCACCTGCCCCAGACGCCGACGTATTTAGAGAGGTAGAACGGGCCCGGTTCAAAGTCCTCCTCCCTTTGAATGAGCCGAAAGAAGATGGGGACAGCATAGCCGCCCACCCAGGCGACGGTGGCGAGGGAGGTGATAGCGGAGAAGAGGAAAGAGTCCTTGAGGAGCGGCAGGGAGAAGAGGATGGCGACGCCACAGCAGAGCCACACGGAGTAGATGGGCGTCTTGTCTCGGTTCACCCGCCGCCAGATGAACGCGAATGGCAGGCCCTTGTCTCGCGCTATGGCGTAGGCCTGGGGGCATGGGGTGGGCGGGGGAGGGGTGCAGGGCGGAGCGGAGGGGGGGAGGGGATGAGGAGAAGGTGGGGAAAAGGAGGGAATGTGTAAAGGGGAGTAGCCAGGGGATTAGTGAGGAGGAAGAGGGCAGAGTCCTCGAGGAGGGGCAGGGAGAAGAGGATGGGTGAAAAGGATGAAGGAGCAAGCACAGGCAGGGGCGGGTGAGCAAGCACAGGCAGGGGCGGGTGAGCAAGGCAAACACATGGACGGATGGGAGTGACTGACTGACCGCTCCGAGGGCTCCAAGCCAAGAAGGCCTCCTTGCTGAATTCAGATTTGAGAATTCTCAAAAGCAACTCGGGCTGTGCGTGCAAGCAGAGGGCGGAGGGAACAGTGACTGACCGCGCGGGAGGCGCCAAGAATGCCGGCGAAGACGCCAAAGAGGAAGGCGATGTAGATGAGTGAGAGCACCACCACCGCCCCTGTGCCGCTGCCGAAGCTGTTGCAGGAGACAGGCACAAGAGGGGACAGCAACACACGGTAGCACGAGGGGGGGTGCATGGGAGGATGGAAGAGGAAGGCGATGTAGATGAGCGAGAGCGCCACCACCGCCCCTGTGCCGCTGCCAAACCTGTGGGGGGAGGGGGGCATGTGGGGGGGTTTGGAAGAGGAAAGCGACGTGGATGAGCGAAAGCACGAATTTTGAGGCGCCTCAAAAGACGATGAGAGTGGATGAGCAAAAGCACGACCACCACCACCCCTGTGTCGTTGCCAAGACTGTGCGGGGAGGGGGGGGAGGATGGGGTGGGCGTGGTTGAGGTGAGAATGAGGAAGATATGAGTGAACACAGGAAAGGTGGGATATGACAACACATAGGGGGAAGGGGGAAGGGGGAAGCCATATACCAAGCCAATCACTAAGCAACTCCCGAACCTCTTATGGAGGCAGTTCTTGAGACACCCACCACGCCGCGAAGGCCTCCCGTATGATGGTAGCCAGGATCTGCTGCCAGCCCGTCATGCTGTCCCTGCTGGTGAGACTGCCACCGCTCTGAACACCCAAGTACCCTTGGTGAAGCCCACGACAGGTTGCTTGCACGCGAGCAGCAGCCGAACCACTTCCCCAGCCACTTACCGAGCCACAAAGGCCTCCCAGATGGTAGTCAGTAACCGACTGATGAGCCGATCTGATCTGCTGCCCGCCCGTAACGCTACCCGTACTGGTGGGATTCTCTTCGTCCTGAATGCTAAAAGTGAAGGCCACGAGCAGCCCCCGGGCGAGCCACTTACCGAGGCACCTACCGAGCTGCCCACCGAACCACGTACCGAGCGAAAAAGGCCTCCCAGATGATGGTAACCAGGATCTGCTGGCCGGCCGTAACGCTGTCCGGGCTGGTGAGGTTGTCATCGTTCTGAATGCAGAAGGTGAAGGCGACGAGCAGCCCCCACGCGAGCAGGCTGACCGCGGACAGGCAGAGCACCATGCTGGCTGGGGACGCGCGATCGGAGCGCTTGGTCTCCTCTGCCATGTGGGCCACTGTGTCGTATGCGTAGAGGGAGTACTGGGATAGCTGCATGGCTGCTATGAAGGCGTACGCCTGTAAGAGAAGAATAGGGTGCGGTGAAGAGAGGTGAAGAGAGGTGGGTCTCAGGTGGAGAGCGCTTGGTCTCCTCTGCCATGTGGGCCACTGTGTCGTATGCGTAGAGGAGCACTGCGATAGCTGCATGGCTGCTATGAAGGCGTACGCCTGTAAGAGAAGAATAGGGTGCGGTGAAAAGAGGTGAAGAGAGGTGAATCTCAGGTGGAGAGCGCTTGGTCTCCTCTGCCATGTGGGCCACTGTGTCGTATGCGTAGAGGGAGTACTGGGATAGCTGCATCGCTGCTATGAAGGCGTACGCCTGGGGGGGGATTGGAAGGGGGATGTGCAGCAATGGGTCTCAAAGTGAGAGGAGGGGCACGCAGGTGAGAGGCGTTTTTGAGGTGCCTCGAAACTTGCCTGGGTGGTGGGGATGGGGAGGGAGGCAGGGATTGGCATCACAAGTCAGAGGAGGGGCACGCACTTGTGTGACACTTTGAGCAACATCAGTCCAGGGCCTGTCATGCTGGGTTTAGACGAAGAGATTCAGTGGTGCAGAGTGGTGCAAAGCGTGCGGCAATGACACATCCAGCTGCAACTTGTAGTGAGTGGAGATGAAAGCTGGCGCATAGCGCACGCACACAAGCCATAGATTGAGCAGTGCAGAATAGTGCAGAGAGGTGTAGAGTGTTGTAGGGTGGTGCAGTGGTGGCGCAGTGGCAGTGCACTGGCATTGCAGTGCGGTACTCACCACAGTGGTCAGCAAAGACACGTCCGGCTGCACGTGTTCTGGGTGAAGACCAAGGCTGGCGCCTGGCGCACATAGGTCATTTATTCAACGGTGCAGAGCGGTGTACAGTGGTGCAGAGTGGTGGAGATGGGTACTCACCATAGTGGGCAGCAGAGACACGTCCAGCTGCACGTGGTGGTGAGTGAAGACGAAGGAGGCACTCTGGTGCACTGGCGCTACCGACGGCAGCAGAATCATGATGACTATGGCGAGACCCATCTAGGGACGAAGGGAGTGGTTGAGGGCAGAAGAAAGGGTGGGAACACAGGTAGAGGGAGGTTGGCTTGGCAGCAGCAGGGGAATGGGATGGGATGACTGGCAGTAGCGAGGGGAGCAGAATCAGCTGCTCAAAGGGGAAACCCATGTGAAAGGGGAAAACCGTCTGGGGAGTAAGGGGGGGAGAGTAGCATGAGCCCGGGAGGGAAGGGGGATGGAGAATGATGGAAGAGAGGATGGGATGACTGGCGCAGCGCACAGGTGCTAGTGCTACTGCGGTGCAGCAGAATCCTGGAGACTACGGCGATTCCCATTTGGGGAGGGGGAGAGTGGTAAGTGGGAGAGGGGAGGGTGGAAGCAGGGGAATGCGGTGAGCGGCGGTATCAAGGGCAGCAGAAGAATCATGGTGTGGTGACAAAGGCGAGTCCCATCTGGGGGTGGAGCCTAGGAGAGAAACATAGAGAGAAACTTATAAGTCTACCTGACCTGACCTGACCTGATAAACAGCACTGCTGATTACGGCCACGCGACCGATGAACTCGATTGAGAAGGAGTTGAGGATGCCGCAGAGGAGAGCACGTGAGTAGAGGGGGGGGGGGGGAGGGGGGGGGGGGGGAGGGGGGGAGGAGGAGTGGTGCTGCTGAGCGGCTACAGTGAAGGGGATGCTGCTAAAGTGATGGCAACCCACCTGGTAATCAGCAGCGCTCATCACGGCCACACGGCCGATGAACTTAATTGAGGAGTTGAGAGGAGGAGAGGGAAGTGTGGGAGGGGGGCGAGCAGGGGAGTGTGCGCAAGTGGGAAGGGAGGCTGACCTGACAAACAGCGCTCATCACGGCCAGACGGCCGATGAACTTGATGGGGAAGAAGTTGAGTTGAGGAGTCGGAGTGTTTGTGAGCGGGCGGGCGGGCGGGAGGCATGCATAGAGCAGGGGAGGGTTTCGGGGAGCTACTTACAAAGCATTGCTGCCACAGTAGAGACAGGCAGATTACCTGATAGACGGCACTGACGACGGCAAGGCGGCCAATGAACTTGATGGAGAAGGAGTTGAGAATGCCGCAGAGGAGAATGGCGCCCACTGTGATGGCAAATGACTCGTAGTTGTTTAGCAGGTAGCCTCCCCCATTCGCCCCTCCTGGTGATGGGACGGAGGGAGGGGGAGAGAGTGGAAGGGGAGGAGAAGGAGACGCGTGAGAGGAGAATGGCACCCACTGTGATGGCGCCCACTGTGATGGCAAACGACTCGTAGTTGTTCAGCAGGTAACCCCCGCCGTTGGTCCCTCCTGGTGATGTGAGAGAGAGAAGAGAATGGAGAGAGCGTGAGGAGAGGGAGGCGGAGAGGGAGAGGGAGAGGGAGAGGGAGAGGGAGAGGGAAAGGGAGAGGGAGAGGGAGAGGGAGAGGGAAAGGGAGAGGGAGAGGGACGGGTGGGGGAGTGGGACGAGGAGGAGGGGCAAGGCAGAGGGGAAGGCGAAGCTGAGAATATTGTCCCCTTAGGACCACAACGGGCGGCCATACCACGTGTGTCCCCTGTCTAACTGAACGAGGCGGCCTCCAGGTGCTCTCATCGAACTCGATGCCGCGGCTCTTCAGCAGGTCGGCCAGATCGATCGTGGGCCAGCTAGTGCGCCAATCGCCTCTCATCCTCGGACACCCACATCCCGCCACCGGGTTTCCATTCTGCAGCCGTTGTTCCTGCACGAACGTCGTCCACTTCCTGGTGATGGAGCTTTGACGGTGCTTATCCAAACAGTGCTGCTCATATGCTTGGAAATCCTCCCAACGCTTTCCGTCAGGGCTACAGCCGGGAAGATGGCATGGCCATGATCTCCAGTGCCAGCCTTCAGTGCGCAGATTATCGAACCTTCTCCTCCAGGTCACTTCTGCGGGCTCACGTAACTCATCATCTCCCGAGTCGTAATCTGACTCTACGCCGCTAAAGTTCTCGTCGCTGCTGTGGTTTTCGCCTTCCATCCCTGGATCGGCAGTGAGCGATGTTTTGTGACAAGAGCCGCGCGATGGGACTATGGTTGGTTGGCCCACTAGCGTGCACTTGGCGAAGAGCGTGCACTGCCGCTTCACCGTCAACGGGAATCCGAGCAGTTGAGTCTGCGCCGACAGGCATGGCAGGGGTCTCGGCTACCTACGACAATTGCAAGGGTAAATCTCGATTGTGTCTGCTCAAGCTAGCCTTGCACACTGCATGGCTGGGAATCCGAGGAAATGTGTCTGCGATAGAGGATGTGATGTGACGGGGGTTTGTCTGCCCGGGCCAGCCCTGCTACCGCGTTGGCGAGAGTAGAAATGTGAAAAAAACAAAGTGTGTTTTAAGTTTTTAACGATTGTGACAACACTTGTGAAGGAGCATGAAGTAAGGATAGGGAGAGGGAGAGGGAGAGGGACGGGTGGGGGAGTGGGACGAGGAGGAGGGGCAAGGCAGAGGGGAAGGCGAAGCTGAGAACACTGGCACCAGCTGTGATGGCTAAGGCTGGCTGGCTGTTGGTTAACAAGTAGCCCTGCCATTTGACTGTCCTCTCATGGCTTCGAGAAAGATAGGTGCAGAAGGATACGGGAGAATCCACTCCACTCCCGAATGCTCTCTTGTCTGTCCCTGAGCTACTTTGCTGGGCGATCTTTGAGGAGCCTCAAGACAGACAGAGGAATATGCTTCATAGTGCTCTCTTGTAACGAGGTGACTTTTGAGTCGACTCAAAACGACTGTAGCGGAGAATGCCTCGTTGTGCTCTCTTGTCTGTCGAGATACAACAACTGTCGAGGGGACTCAAACCTCACCTTGAAACGGGGTGGGGTGATACACCTCAATACGCTCGCTCATTGAGGTCACAATACACCGTGCTCGGCACCTCAATACGCTCACTCATAGTGCTCTCTGGCCAGTCCATATGCATGGAGTAACTGTAGGATAATATATCAAACAATTCATTCCACCCGGCAATCTTCACGGTTCTTCTCAAGATAGGATAGGATGATGTATCGGGATGGGATAGGACTGGATAATGTACACACCATGCATGCATGCAGCCGGATGGGATGGAAGTGTCTGTGGCAGCGAGCACGGTGTACTGTAGCATGATCACCCCCCTGTACGAGACGCCGCTTGGTTCAAAGCCCCACTGTATGTTGGCCTGGTCTGACCCAAAGCCCCAGGCAGATGGCAGTACCTGTGGCGACCAGCACGGTGTACTGTAGCATGACCACCCCGCTGTACGAGACGCCGCTTGGTTCAAAGCCCCACTGTATGTTGGCCTGGTCTAACCCAAAGCCCCAGACAGATGGCAGTACCTGTGGCGACTGGGGATGAGCAAGATCCCGAACGTCTGTTCGGTTCGCCTCGAACATGTTCGAGGCGAACCGAACAAGCCTTTTTTTTTTGCCAAATTGTTCGGGGCGAACATGTTCGAGGTTCGGCCGAACATGTTCGACGTTCGGATTTGGATTTCGCCTCTCCAAGCCGAACACGAACATGTTCGTGTTTGGCTGGGCTTCGACGCGAACACCAAAAGTGATCGCGTCAAGATTGATCGCGACCAGATTTAGGTCGCGGCCAATTTTTGTTTGAGCTCATTTCGTGAGCTCAAACTCAGAAGTTGTTTAGGCTTTAGTGCTCCCTCACACAGCCGCCCTAGCCTCCATGTTGTAGGTGCAAGCAAGTGCACGTTAGTACTTGGAGTGTAAACGAACATTAGATTAGTTAGAACTATGCTTAGGGTTTGACGTAGTATAGGGAGTTTAGGGTTACTATTAAGGTTCAGCGAGCATCTCCGCAAAGGGCTTTTGTAGGGCGTATCATTCGCCATAGGATTCAGATCAGGCATTAGGAACGTGCGGCACCATCCAACGCTAACGTTGCCTTAGGGTTTAGGGTCGAGGGCGGAGTGATGGCGTCCAGGGGTGGTGGATCCATAGGCCGAGGTGCAGGCAGGGCTCAGGGCAGCGCACCGGGATCTCCACCACGACCTATGCAGGGGCGAGTAGGGGATGGACCGGGTGGAGCCGGCGCGATCTTCGTTGGGGGGTTGCTTACCGTACCGACGCCGAGCTCTCGTCGCTCTTTCCGTTACGACGGCCCTCGGCCCCCTCCTTCGGGGCAGACGCCGACGCAGCCGGAGAGCGGCAGTGAGGAGGAGGATGAGGAGGAGGATGGTGAGGGCGAGAAGGAGGAGGACACTGAGGGGAGCGGGGATGACAGCGAGGCGGCGTGGGACCCAGAGACGCATGGCGGTGGGGAGGGGGGAGATGATGATGATGAAGACCACGAGATGGATGGGTTAGAGCCAGAGGGGCGGGAGGAGGAGGTGGGAGAGGGTGGTGGAAGGGCGGCTACAGAGGCGGGATCACAGCATGTGCGTGAAGGGGGAGGGAGCGTGGGGGTTAAGGTGGGGGGGGGAAAGGCCGTGACCATTAGGGAGCCGAGGCAGAGGAAGAAAGCGAACAAGTTAAGAGAGCGGGCGTATCCCTGCACGTTCAATGGGGAGCCCTTGGGCGAGGGTGTGATCGCTCCCGAGTTCCTAGACGAGGACGGAGGGTCCGAGAGTAGTAAGGGGACTGGCAAGGGTAATAGGAAGCCGGGGTGGCAAGTTATGATGTTCGGACCGTTAGGGGCAGACGATAAGCGTCAGTGCAAGATTTGCACAGACAGGATTTTATGGAAGCAATCCACAACAACCCCGGGCGAGCGGCACTTTGCGAGCTTCCACACTGCGCACATGCATGTGTGGCATCACCGTTACCACACCCCGTCCGTTCACTTGCCAGGGGAGACGTTTCCCCGAGGGGGCTACATGGGAGTGCCGGATGGCTACGTCTATCAGTGGCCACATGCCAAAACTTGGCCGCAGCTCGCCAAGGGGAAAGCGATGGCGACTGGTGGAGGTGATGGGTCAGGAGGGATCGAGCGGTGGATGACAGCCAAACTGACCTCGGTGCAGCTACGGCAGGCGATCACGAAGCTGGTGGTCACCTGCGACCTCCCCTTCCGCATCGTCGAGGCCGAGGCTGTAAGTGCCCCATCCCATCCCATGCTTGAGTGGGCAAATATGTGGTTAGTGGACGTGTCTGTCGCTTTGTGTTTAGACTGTTGGCGTGTGGCCCAGTGCAGTGCTATGTTATTTTCATCCCATCCCCCTGACGTGTACTACCCTCTCCCCCTTGTCTCTTCCCCTCTCCAGTTTCGTGAGCTACTCATCCTGTTGAACCGCAACTGCGCGCAGAAAAACTTCATCCCCTCGCGCTGGACGATTTCCCGCGACACAGTGGTCTATGCGGCTGCCGCTCTTCAGTCAGCCATCGCGGAGATGCTGGCGAAGGAGGGGGAGCTGGGGTGCAGGGTGTCGTTCACCATCGACATGTGGACGTCGCCCAACAACAGGGCGTGGCTGGTGGTAACGGGTCACTGGATCGGCGAGAATTACCAGCTGCGCACAATGGTGTTTGAATTCCGCGAGATTCACGGGCGGCACACGAGCAAGCAGATGGCGAGGGTGGTTGAGGAGACGGTGGTGCAGTGGGGGTTGGAGACGCGTTGTCTTGGGTTCACCTCAGACAACGCCTCCAGCGACACTGCCGCTTTCAGGTGGATGTCGGAGGAGGGTGGTGGCAAGTGCGTCTTCAACTCGCGCATGCACTTCCGGTACAAAAGGGAGTGTTCCTGTGATGTGAACATGTTGTGGTTGTAGTACAGGCGGGTGGGCCTATGCGGCTTGAGAGTGGTAGTGTATCCCGGATCTATTCCAATGTGTACTCACACTTCCCTTTCTCTCCGCCATAAATGTTTCGTGATGTGCGCAGATGCCTGGCACACGTGATCAACCTTGCAGTGAAGGCAGCACTAGCTGTGTCCGCCATCCGCAAGTTGCTCAAGATTCTGAGAGAGATGGCATCGTGGATAGGATACTCGCCGCAGCGCTCGGGGAAGTTCTTGGGCCTTCAGCGGACTCTGAACGCGCAGGGCAACCACGCCAAACCGAAGCCAGCGTTGAAGCTGGTGCAGGACAGTCCCACACGCTGGGGGTCGACCCACGACATGGTCGAGCGAGCCGGGGTTCTGCAGGAACCCATCTCTGTCTTCTTTGCGCAGACACAGGTGTGTGTGTGTGTGTGCCAGGTGTTGTGTATGCTGTTTTATGTGTTGGTATGTCGGTCGGGGTGTTTTCTTCTGGGACTTGCACCACTGTTGGCCATGCTTGACTAAACTTTTCGGACCTCCAACAACCTCAACCACCCCACTTTCCATCTTATCACCCGCCCACCCATACGTTCTACCCGACAGGGCGTGTCGAAGGCTGACAAGGCGAAGATGGACACCTTGCGCCTGACCGACGCAGACTGGGAGACTCTGCATTCTGTCAAGACCTTCCTCAGCCCATTCGCCAAAGTCTCCAAGGCCGCAGAGGGAGCGGCGTACCCTACAGTGTCGATGGTCCTGCCGTACTACAACGGCCTGATCGACACTATGGAGTCGCGCCTTGCCAAGGGGCCATCGCCTACGCTGAAGCCGATGATTGAGGCGGCGCTGAGTCTCTTGAAGAAGTATGAGTTGATGTCAAGCAATGAGTTGTGGATCGCCACCTTCCTGGACCCTTCCATGAAGGCGGCATGGTTCGACGACGCGCACTGGGAGACGCTGCATCCCGACACAGTGCGGAGGGCGAGGCCTCGTCCCTCGTCAGGCGAGGTGATCCAGCTGGTTCGCGAACGCGTGGCCGAGCACCAGGCCCGGGCTGCAGCGATTGCCCCTCAGCCGACCCCACTTGCCCCAGTGACGGAGGAGGAGGAGGGAGACGCGGCGGATGACGACGAAGACGCCGAGTTTCTCCCTAGTCGCCGACGCCTTGCGGCGCGTCTGTCGGCGAGCCAGGAGGCGGGGAGGGGTGGGATGGTGCAGGATGACGAGGTTGGCAGGTACTTATCAGAGAGGGTGCGATGCGACGTGTCAGCGTTGGAGTATTGGCGCAGCGCCACCAACATGCAGACGCTGAGGCGCATGGCCCGGGATTACCTTGCCATCCCTGCCACGTCCGCGTCGAGCGAGCGCGTGTTCTCCCTCGGCCGCAACCTCATCTCCTGGAAGCGGCACCGCCTAGCCTCTCAGAGGGCGCGAGCTTCCATGATTCTCAGATCATCGTACACCTCACACCCTGGACAGAGGATAGGCGAGGGCCGCCGTGCCAAAGGCGAGGCACCACCAGAGTTCGCCATTGAAGGCGAGGGGGAGGAGGAGGACGACGAGTGGGAGGAGGAGGAGGGGGAGGAGGAGCAGGTGGGGGTGGGTGCTGGCGACACCTCAGACGCGGAGCATGCTGTTGTTGGTAGTAGCAGTGGTGTGCAGGCGTAGGATGTAATTTGGCAGTGACTTGACTTTTATATAGGCACTACATGATGGTGTCGTATGCTAGTGTGCGTTGCATGATTATATACACACCCTCCACCCCCCTATCTATCTTCCCAACCCTCCAGGTTCCGTGTTTCTCTATTGTGACTATAATGAAAGTGGCCAAGGGCGAACTTGAACATGTTCGGTTCGAACATGTTCGAGTTCGCCCACACATAACAAATGTTCGCTCCCAAAAATGATGTTCGAGCGAACTCGAACCCAAACGTGTTCGAGTTCGCCATTTGCTCATCCCTAGTGGCGACCAGCACGGTTTACTGTAGCATGACCACCCCGCTGTACGAGACGCCGCTTGGTTCAAAGCCCCACTGTATGTTGGCCTGGTCTAACCCAAAGCCCCAGACAGATGGCAGTACCTGTGGCGACCAGCACGGTGTACTGTAGCATGATCACCCCGCCGTACGAGACGCCGCTTGGTTCAAAGCCCCACTGTATGTTGGCCTGGTCTAACCCAAAGCCCCAGACAGATGGCAGTACCTATGGCGACCAGCACGGGGTACTGTAGCATGATCACCCCGCTGTACGAGACGCCGCTTGGTTCAAAGCCCCACTGTATGTTGGCCTGGTCTAACCCAAAGCCCCAGACAGATGGCAGTACCTGTGGCGACCAGCACGGTGTACTGTAGCATGATCACCCCGCCGTACGAGACGCCGCCCAGCCCCACAGAAAGGCCGAGAAACTCAAGCCAGCCCTGCCGAAGGGGCGGGGGGAAACCGGGGTTGGGATGAGATGATGTGGAGAGAGGGGTTGGGATGAGATGATGTGGAGAGAGGGGTTGGGATGAGATGATGTGGAGAGAGGGGTTTGGATGAGATGATGTGGAGAGAGGGGTTTGGATGAGATGATGTGGAGAGAGGGGTTTGGATGAGATGATGTGGAGAGAGGGGTTGGGATGAGATGATGTGGAGAGAGGGGTCTGGATGAGATGATGTGGAGAGAGGGGTTGGGATGAGATGATGTGGAGAGAGGGGTTGGGATGAGATGATGTGGAGAGAGGGGTTTGGATGGGATGATGTGGAGAGAGGGGTTGGGATGAGATGATGTGGAGAGAGGGGTTTGGATGGGATGATGTGGAGAGAGGGGTTGGGATGAGATGATGTGGAGAGAGGGGTTTGGATGAGATGATGTGGAGAGAGGGGTTTGGATGGGATGATGTGGAGAGAGGGGTTTGGATGAGATGATGTGGAGAGAGGGGTTGGGATGAGATGATGTGGAGAGAGGGGTTTGGATGAGATGATGTGGAGAGAGGGGTTTGGATGGGATGATGTGGAGAGAGGGGTTTGGATGAGGCGCGGGGGCAGACGGGCTGGGATGAGATGTGGGTGGGGACGGGTTGAGTTCATGTTTGAGAATTATTAAAACAATAAAAGTAGCCAGTACCATCGCACGCCACTCAAACGCAACCCCCATACCAACTGCGACCCCTAAAGCCACTCAATTTGCAACCCTGCACGCCATACAATCAGTCCTCAACCCCTCACGCCACACCATCAAGCCTCAACCCCTCATCCCGCTCAAACGTAAACTGTCAACGCCATTCAATTCAAGCAGCAACGGACGAAGCCCCATATATAGTACTGCTTTTGAGTCGACTCAAAAGCAGCCCCATATATAGTACCGTGATCCACGCAGCAAAGGGGCCGTGCTTCGGCCCGGCCAGTGCTGCCGACCAGAAGTAGAGGGAACCGGCCACCTGAAATAGAGGGACGGGAGGGGTTGAAGGAGAAAGTGAGGGGAAGAGTGACAGAGGACACGAGTGTTCTCTTGCCTCGCCTTGGCAGGGCGTGTTTGGGACGGTTCTGTTCCATCCAGACAATGGCAGGGTGTGTTTGGCACGGTTCTGTTCCATCCAGACAATGGCAGGGTGTGTTTGGCACGGTTCTGTTCCATCCAGGCCAACAGAAGAGAGTGCCAGCCACCTGCGATGGAAGGGGGAGAGGTGAGCAGAGCAGAGGTAGAAATTATCTGGGGAAGCGGAACAGCAAGACGTTGAACTAACATCTAGTGAACAGATTGTTGCAATGCAATGCAAGTAGTAAATCTCTTGCCGTCTGGGTGAAGGAATGAAGAAGACGTGAAGGAGAGGAGAAGTGGCGAGGAGAGGCGAGGAGTGGAGGGGAGGGGAGAGGAGACGAGATTAAAGGAAAGGACGGGGGGAGAGAAGAATGGGACGAGATGAGGGCTGTGAGACATACGACGAGAGGAGGGAGGAGGAATCACTCATGAAAGCCGAAGACAGAGAGCCAGTGAATGACATACAGAAACAAGGAGGAGAGGCACTCACGGGGAGTGAAAGAGGAGATTGAGGTGCGTGCAGACAGATACGAAATGGGATGGGAGGGAGGGACAATCACTTACAAGCGCAGGAGAAGAGGGAAGAGGAGGGGAAGGAAAGGGGGACTCACGGGGAAGGAGGAGAGGGGGACTCACGGGGAAGGAGGAGGAGATTTCGGCCATGGAGAGAGCGATGAGGTGCGTGAAGAAGACGGTGATCCACCAGTACCACACCACCGCCACTGGGCCTCCGTTGATGTACGCCTGACTGTAGCGAGTGGGATTATAACGGGGATGGTTGCAGAGGGGGCAGAGAGGGGACAGGAGGCGAGAGAGCGATGAGGTGCGTGAAGAAGACGGTGATCCACCAGTACCACACCAACGCCACTGGACCCCCGTTGATGTACGCCTGACTGTAACGAGTTACAAGTGTGGTTATAACGGGGATGGTTGATGCACGAACAGACAGGAGACAGGAGGGGGCTGGTGATTAAAGCGAGTCCGAGATGGTGATCCGACAATACCTGGGCCGCCATTGACGAACACGTGACTGTAACGAAACCGGGGGAAACGGGGGGAAAGGAAGAATTGGGCTTTTTTAAGTCGGGAAAAAAATGTCAGGTGGAAGAAGACGGATGAATCTAAGAATGGGCAGGGGGGGTCGGGAATAGAGCGGCGGATAGGGGGTTTAAGGAGGGGGGTTACGGGCATAATGAAGGGGTGGGAGGAAGGGTGGGCATCAAAGGGTGGAGCGGAAGGGGGGGGGAGGGGTGGGGAGCGGTGAGACGCCTGAGGATGGACATTTCCTGGTACGGGTATCTGTATCTGTCGGGGGAATCCTCCTCACCCATAGCGCGGCACGATACCCGTGAAAACCTTGATAGTAGATAGGCCGATGGAGATCAGCTCGAAGAGGCACGCACAGTCAGAATGGGCATTTTCTAAGCGGGAATCGTCCTCACCCACAGTAGGGCACGATGCCGGTGAAGACAGTGATGGTCGACAGGCCGTGGAGGAGAGCTCGAAGATCAACAGCCCAGGGGAATGGCAAGTCATGGAAATCTGATCTCACCCATAGTACGGCACAATGCCGGTAAACACAGTGATGGTAGACAGGCCGATGGAGAACAGCTCGAAGAACCCGAGCGCGCGTTTGAGCTCCTGCTTGTACCCCAGCTCGTTCAGAAGCTTCTCGCCCGAGTCTATCTCCACCGTTAACTGCAGCCCGTCTTCCAACATAATCTCCATTGTCTCGCCCGCTCCGTCGCCTCCGCCGCCGGCGCCGTCTCCGCCGGCTTTACCATCCCCCGCCTGGCCGTCTCCCCCGCCGGTTTGCGCTTTTCCCGCCGCGCCGGCCGCCGCGCCGTCCCAGTCCTCCGTCATGACTAGATCGTCGTCGACCACCACCGCGCCGTCTGCTTTGCCGGCAGAACCCCCCTTTCCCGGAACGTCGAGGCTTCCGGCCGAGTCGCCTCGGGTGCGCCATAAGGCGCGCCGCCCTAGAACCATGATGCTGGCTTCGACTGTGAAATTTTGGTGACTGACAGTAACGACCCCGAAATACAGTTACCAGTTGCTAATGAGTCAGTGGAGCACGTCAGACGTTATCGCTCACCCATCGCTTACGTAAAAAACAAAAACGCTTTCACGAAATCGAGAAACATGTGGCGGCACGACGAGTGCTAGAGGATACGCACAACTCCGAAAATAAGGTATTCTGCTGCTATTGAACGACAAACGGTCAAGTCGAGTTGTCGACGAACATACCTAAGAAGCACTGCGGTCTTTTACGAATGGACCCCTGCGGCACGCGATACGCTCTGGAGCTAACCAATGTTGCGATCGAATAAATAAGATTCTCTCTCTGGGTGGTTACCAGCTGATGTTACGCAAAACGACAGAAATAATCTGGAAACGAGTTCTCGCACTCCAAAGATTCTCAAACGCACTGCGGAACAGTGGAGCTAGTAGATTCAATGCGACGCCAAACTACACACCACGCGGGCTTGCTATATTAGTGCGCGCCGTGTGCATCCGTGTGTATGCGAGAGTGTTACACCTCGGCAACGCAATAAGTCTCAAAAACGACTCCAAAATATGCGAGAAACTCGAAAGAGTCTAGAGCTCGACTCGCTCGCAACCGCAATGCCATTGTTGCCTAGTATACTGTCCGTCAGTCCCTTCACCAACTGCAGCTGTTAATTTGAAGGGAGAGTATGTGCTGGCTACCTGGCTATTGAAAACTTTTCACATTTCATCCTGGGCTCGACTCGGACACTCCTACTTTTCGGAAATTCGTTCAAGACGCATCACATATTACGTTCACGACTCATACTGCCAGGCAAAGTTTTTGACACGTGTTCATTGTTTACACGGACAAAAAAATAAAACCCAATCGGAAAGGGATACGACTCGGGGAGGCATCAACCCTAAACTTGGAGAGGCATCAGCCCTAAACACCCGTGGGCTCTAGTGTTTAGGGCTGATACCTCCCGAAAATGCGCCCAGATTCTCTAGGGGTTACATTTTCCGGGCTGCCCTGTCAACTCGAGCGGGGAAGCGGGAAAATAATTTGGACACGTGTCAAAAACACTTGCCTGTAGTACCAGCTTTGAACAGAATGTGGGATGTCGCTCGAGAGAAATCCCATTGAGTCGCACTGCTTGAGTGAGCCGTGTGGCTATATATGAAAGAATCTGGAAAACCAAGTAGCCAGCACATACTCTCCCTAATTTTAATGACAGACCAAACGCACACCCTGAACACCTCAGGCTCGAAATAAAAGTGGGTCGCAAGATGGTGTAGATGGAATCTTGGAGTTTGGATGCGTTATTACGTGGTTCAGTTGCTAGCCAGAGAACTAGCTGCTTTGCTGTTTTTTGGTCTCCATCCCTAGAACAGGCACAGCCAGCATGGGAACCCACAGGCAGAATGATGGTGGGAGGAGCTGTACGTGTTTTGAACTGAACTTCGGAAAAAACGGAGGTATCGAGGTTATCTTGCGGTCTGGCACGTTTCTTCACGGTCTACGAAGGTTGGCTAGGGTGCATGGAAAACACTTGACCCATCAGGTCTCGTGTGGTTCAGCTTGTGAGGTGATGTGCACAACCTGAGGACAAAGCAGTCGATTTCTTGAAGAGATATCGATTTTTGACAGCAATCAGGTCATGTCAATGGTACTGTACACCTAACCATCGATAATTTGAAGGGGTGCCCCTGCACTGGTCCCGCGTTTCAAGGCTACCCTGCACGTTTTCTACTATTTCTGCTAGACACGTAGATGACCGGGGCTATGAAAGACGCCTAATTCTCGAACCCCAAAACCTTTCGAGCGAATCTGGGACAAAAACCACTCGTGTGAAGGCTGTTTTCTTGTTGCGAAATCCATAGCGCAAATTATACTCTTTTCGAGGATCTGGAACAGACTCTCCGTAAAATCACGACGCCCCACACAACCCTCGGTCAAAGATTTGAAAAGGGTGCATACCAGCGTGTGCAAGTGGGGTTGAAAATAGACCGATAGAATTTATCGGTGGTTAGGTGTAGCAAAACACATGAAACATCACATTATGAAGCCCAAAAAACACGTCTAAAAATCGAACAGATACATATGTTTGTCTGGTGGGGAGATATTCAAGGTGTACTTGTTTTCTCTTGTACCAAACTTGCGTCGCCTAGTGTGGGGATGGTTGCAGATCAGAGATCACGCCCATCACGCCTAAACCATTGTTCCATCGATCGGGCGTACCACGTGTTCACGCCTGCAGATGACTTCGCGATGCCATATGGCGTTTCCGCCTAAGAGTTCCCTCGTTTTATTACCAGAAGACCATGTTCTTTGGACGGAAGCTAAGTTGCCCTCGTCTGACTGACGCCCATCAAATGCCGGAGCGTGGGGTAGCAGAAACCACGCGGATCGTCACTTCTGGACTCCATACCTTCGCTATAATACTCTTCGTTACCGTGACATGCGCACGATGTGACGATCCGTTTAAAACCACCTCCATTTGGCAGCCAAAATCGCCTGAAACTGCCGTTTCGAGAAATCTCGATGAAAGGGCCCCACCTGCGCATGAATGGACTGGATCATGGCGTGAAACGAAAGCTGCATGGCAAGAGGCCAGAAAGGGGAGAAGGCGAGCGACTTTTGAGTCGACTCAAAAGTCACCTGCGCATGAATGGACTGGATCATTGCGTGAAATGAAAGCTGCATGGCAAGAGGCCAGACAGGGGAGGAGGCGAGCGGCGGCGGAAGTAGCGTCCGCGAGCACAGCCGTTGCAAGTCCTGCTCGGCCAGGAACAGATGACGAAGCAGGAGAATATGGCTCGGGAACGACTGGGTCCAGCACAGCAACAACGGGGTCCACGTCAGGAGCATCCGGATCCACGTCGGGACAAGTAGAATCTGGAAAAGAAAGAGAGCGCGGACGGAACACGGAAGGTGGTAACCCGAGGACGACTGCGGTCAGGGAGGAAAGCTCAGCGGTTGGCGGCAGTGACATCGGCAGTGAAAGCGGTAGAGATAGCGCTTCTACTGCCTTTGCTGATTTCACTGATACGTTGTCTGCTATTTCCCCCTCTCGTTCCCCTCTTTCCTCTTCTCCCTCCTCCCCTTCTGTAGTGCCTCTTCTCTCACAGCACGACCAGCACTTGCAGCAGTGGCAGCGGCACTTAGACAGAGCCGTTTTCACTCCGCTCACTGACCCCACGCAACCGCTTGCTGTGCTAAGTAAAACACTTCAAAGTTCTCCGAAAGTTCCGCTGCTGGTGGCGGTGGATGGGCACGTGCCAGACGCAGTGGCGGGAGGGGCGTGGGAGCAGGCGGGGGGAAGGATGGTGCGCGTGACGTGGCGGAAAGCAGAAGGAAGGGAAGCGGGGAAGGGGGGGGAGATGGAAGGGCGGGGAGGGGATCAGGGAGAGGGGGGAGAGGGTAGGGATAGGGAAGGGGTTCAGGCAGGGGATGGGGATACAGGGGATGTTAGCCAGAGGGAGAAGGAGAGCGTTGGAGCAGGGGAAGAGAGAAGGGTGGAAGGGGGAGGCATGAGGAGGCGGTTAGGGGCCTTGAAGAAGCGGAAGTGGAACGTCAGTCTAGTGAAGGCGGTGGGGACGAGCAAGGGAAAACCAATACAGAGGCAGGAGCAGGAGCAGGAGGAGAAGCAGCAGCAGGAGCAGGAGGAGAAGCAGCAGCAGGAGCAGGAGGAGAAGCAGCAGCAGGAGCAGCGGCAGCAGGAGCAGCAGCAGCAGGAGGAGCACCAGCAGCAGCAGCAGGGGGAGGATCATTATCAGCAGCAGCAGCAGGAGCAACAACAGCAGCTGCAACAGTTGGTTGAGGAGGCGCGATGGAGGGAAGGGGTGAAGGCGAAGGCTGTGTCGTGCCTGGCAATGCTGCAGCAGCATGAGACGATGCAGGGCAGACTGGCTCAAGGTGGGTCTGGATAGGCTGACGTGTCTGCTTGACACGCATGCTGCATGTGTGCTGAATGCGTGCTGCATGTGTGCTTGATTGTTCAAACCCCACCTTCCGTTCCCCCCTTTTTTCCTCCTTCCCCCTGTCAACCTTCCCTCATAAAAGCTTGTGAAAGGAGAGAGGGATTCTATTTGGTGCATGCATGCGTGCGGGGCATCAGACATGGGAGCATGATGGGAACATGGCATGCGGGTCAAAAAAATGGACGAGGGATGATGCATGATGTGAATACGGACTGCCAGTACCGAGGATGGATGGCCCCGGCAAGGTCTGTTAGCCCTTTTATCTTATGTGCTTTTGAGTCGACTCAAAGGCAAGGTCTGTTAGCCCTTTTTTCTTTTGTGCTTTTGAGTCGACTCAAAGGCAAGGTCTGTTAGCCCTTTTACCTTTTGTGCTTTTGAGTCAACTCAAAGGCAAAGTCTGTTAGCCCTTTTACCTTTTGTGCTTTTGAGTCGACTCAAAGGCAAGGTCTGTTAGCCCTTTTATCTTTTGTGTGCCTTGCTCTGATCCAATCTTGTCTGGTCGTCTCTATTCTGCATCTGCTGCATGTTTTCATTTCTCCTGTGCCAACCGTTCTACTGCCTCACTCTCGTCTTTCTCTCTCATTTCCCCTGGCCTATTTTCTCCTTCGACAATGCAGCGCACCGGCAATACCAACAGTCGCTGCTCCTGTGCCAGCCTTTCTACTGCCACACACTCATCTTCTCACTCATATTCTTCCTCTGGCCTCACACTCATCTTTTTTCCCCTCCCCAATGCAGCTCACCAGCAATACCATCAGTCGCTGCTCCACCCATCCTCCACTCCCTACTCCTCCTCCTCCTCCTCCTCCTCCTCCACCTCTGCATCCCCATCGTCCTCTTCTCCCTCACTCGCCTCCCCATTGCACCCCTTGAGGGCTGTCATGGCTTCTATAAGAGCCGACCTGCGGCGGTTGCAGCAGCAGCTGCAGGCGCAGTGCAGAGTTGATCCGAGGGATTTACCGCTGAGAATGGAGGAGCGGAGCAAGCTGATGAGAGAGGCGGGATGTGGGAGCAAGGTACTGGGGGAGGGAGGCGTGGGAAGAGGGTTAGGTGGTGGGGGAGGAGGAGTAAGAGAAGGAGGAGGGGAAGGGGATGAAGGAAGGCAAGAGGAGGGAAGTAAGGAGGAACGTAAGGAGGGAAGGCAGGGGGAGGGCAAGGAGCGGGCAAGCGAGAGAAGCTCGTGGTGGTGCAGTGGGCAGGAGACCGGCAGGGCAGCTCGCACCTGCATGGGGCTGAGAGCCCCTTCCCCTCTTGCACGACTCTCCCCACACCTCTTCCCCTCCTCCCCCCCCGCTGTCTCCTTCCTCCTGCAGTATTTTCGCCAGCCTGGCATGATTGCGGACCTGCTCGCCCGCCCCCATAACTGCACCTGGGTTCCGAGGGCTGGGGGAAAGGAGAAGGGGAGGAGAAAAGGGGAGGTGGGTGGAGTAAAGGGTGCTGGGAAGGGGGAGTTTGGGCGAGGAGGGAATGTTAGGGTGGTAGAGATGTTGGTGCATGCGGATAGTCCTGAGGAGTGGAAGGAGTGGAGGGAGTACTGGTGTGGGAGGAAGCCGCTCACCAACCCTGCCGACCCTTCTGCCCCTGCCGGTGCTGCCGGTGCTCTTTCCACTGCCATTGCAAGAAGAAACAGCAACAGCAGTGCAAGCAGCAGCAGCAGCAGCAGCAGCAGCAGCAGCCGCAGCAGCAGCAGGGAGTGTCCAGGCAACCCCTACTTCCACCTGCAAGTCACCTTCGACCACAACGCCCATGAGATCCGCGGCTTCAACACCCACGCCAAAACAGCCCGCGGTAACGTGGTAACCCTGTTACAGGACGACGACCTGCTGCCGTGGGACTGCAGCTGGCTTTGGCGCATCACCCATGAGATGGACGCACGCCCGCTAGTCGCCGCTGTGGGCTATAGGACCGGGAAAATTGATGTGGATGGGAGCAACTGGGGTGCGCCCCTGACCTGGTACAGGTTCGGGGGATGGCTGTGGACCCACCCGTCCTACGACCCCCGAACCAGCCTACGGGGTTTTTTCGCGGGTGTGGTGGATTTTGCTCCGTTTGTGATGCGGCGGGATGTGTTTTTGGCGCTAGGGGGGCTTGATGAGGGGCTGTCGGCGCGGGGGGAGTGCGGGATTATCACCGATTGGCATTTTACTTATCGGATCTGGTTTGCTGGTTACCAGGTTATGAATTTAGCGTGGGATCCTCCGGAGAGTGGGATTGGGAGGGGAGTGGAAGGCGGCACACATGCGGGCGTGAGATTGAGCCTACGGCACCTGCATTTTCTGATCAATGATGGGCAGATGAGAAGGCACCAGGTAGAGGTGCTGAATGCGTGGCAGCAGAGGGAGGTGAAGAGGGTGAATGTAATGTTTCGGACATTGGATGTGTGGGAGTGAGTGTGGTGGAAGAGGGTGGAGTTGGATTGGGAGGGAGGGGGGTTACTGTATATCATGGAAGTTAGATGGATTCTTCAATAGTCGATCTGAGTGAACTGTTTCGTGATTGTTGGATCAATAGGTGTGTGATTGGAAGAGGCAGTATCTCGATAGACACAGGTTCTTGGACTTCACTTTTTGGAGACTGGTGTTGATATCCATCCCAACCAAACCGAACTCCGCCGACACGAGAGTGAGTGACTGCAGCTTCCTTGATGCTGCTTTGCGGAACTGGTATTCGTAGTTTCTACGAGATGTTGTGAACAGCCGCCCGAAGCGCATGTACGAACGTCAGCGAACGATCCAGATGGCTGGAGGGGGCGGTGTGTGCTGATTGGGCAATATAGGATTGTCAGATAGGCGTCTGCGACATCTTAGCTCCTTAGCGAGCATGAATGTGACAATGTCGAAAGTGTCCGACGCTATTCATTGGCTAGCAATCTGCGATCCCTCAATACTCTCGCAGAAATGTTGGCGACGGTCATAAGAGCGACTCGATCCATGCGGACGCCGCCAAGTCATCCGCCAGAACCTGCCGCCTCGCACCTCGCGTCGCGCGTTAGTGAGAGGGCAATAAATACCCTTTACTGTATGTCCCATCAGTGTAACTGATACTTAAGAGCTGGTAACATAGCTATTTGCTCCCTGCCGTCGATTGCTTTCTCGCCGCGCCGCTGCATTTGCGTTGAGAGAGTGGCATGACTTTTCTGCCGCCTTCGCCAGAGTCGCAAGGCTCGTCGCCTCCTTCGCGCAAATCCCACGCGCATGCCGGTCCCAAGCTGGACTGGTTTCGAGTGGGACTTTGACAAAGCACTGGTCGGAGCAGGGCTGTAAGCAGCGGCAGCCGCAATAGTAGCGGCAGCAGCCGCAAACGCGGTGTCGGCGACAATCTGTCGCTGGTGCACATCGTGGCTGTGGCGTTCGCGAAAGGCGGCGTGGGCAAGTCCGCCACTGCCGGTGCGCCTCCGCCCCACCACCATGCCTCACGCCATGCCGCTTCCTCCCCCAACACCATATTCCCCCCTCCCTCCTTCTCTCCCTCCCCGCCACACTCCCCTTCCCCACCGCGTCCCCGTACCTACCCCCTTACCCTCCCCCCACAACTTCCCCCTCCCCTCCCCCCACACCTCCCTTCCCTTCCTCTCCCCTTCCCCTCTACCTCCTCATTCCCCTTCGCTCACCTTCACTGCATGTGCGCAGCTCTGCTCACCTTCACTGCATGTGCGCAGCTCTGCTCACCTTCACTGCATGTGCGCAGCTCTGCTCACCTTCACTGCATGTGCGCAAGCTCTGCTCACCCCTGCCTCCTTCCATTCACATATCGCCCACCCCGTCCCTGTCACCCTGTTTCTCTCGTAATATTCCTCTCACCCCTTACGCCTTGTAATATTCCTCTCACCCCTTACGCCTTGTAATATTCCTCTCAACCCTTACGTCTTGTAATATTCCTCTCACCCCTTACGCCTTGTAATATTCCTCTCACCCCTTACGCCTTGTAATATTCCTCTCACCCCTTACGCCTTGTAATATTCCTCTCACCCCTTACGCCTTGTAATATTCCTCTCACCCCTTACGCCTTGTAATATTCCTCTCACCCCTTACGCCTTGTAATATTCCTCTCACCCCTTACGCCTTGTAATATTCCTCTCAACCCTTACGCCTTGTAATATTCCTCTCATCCCTTACGCCTTGTAATATTCCTCTCACCCCTTACGCCTTGTAATATTCCTCTCACCCCTTACGCCTTGTAATATTCCTCTCACCCCTTACGCCTTGTAATATTCCTCTCACCCCTTACGCCTTGTAATATTCCTCTCACCCCTTACGCCTTGTAATATTCCTCTCAACCCTTACGCCTTGTAATATTCCTCTCACCCCTTACGCCTTGTAATATTCCTCTCACCCCTTACGCCTTGTAATATTCCTCTCACCCCTTACGCCTTGTAATATTCCTCTCAACCCTTACGCCTTGTAATATTCCTCTCACCCCTTACGCCTTGTAATATTCCTCTCACCCCTTACGCCTTGTAATATTCCTCTCACCCCTTACGCCTTGTAATATTCCTCTCACCCCTTACGCCTTGTAATATTCCTCTCACCCCTTACGCCTTGTAATATTCCTCTCACCCCTTACGCCTTGTAATATTCCTCTCACCCCTTACGCCTTGTAATATTCCTCTCACCCCTTACGCCTTGTAATATTCCTCTCACCCCTTACGCCTTGTAATATTCCTCTCACCCCTTACGCCTTGTAATATTCCTCTCACCCCTTACGCCTTGTAATATTCCTCTCACCCCTTACGCCTTGTAATATTCCTCTCACCCCTTACGCCTTGTAATATTCCTCTCACCCCTTACGCCTTGTAATATTCCTCTCACCCCTTACGCCTTGTAATATTCCTCTCACCCCTTACGCCTTGTAATATTCCTCTCACCCCTTACGCCTTGTAATATTCCTCTCACCCCTTACGCCTTGTAATATTCCTCTCACCCCTTACGCCTTGTAATATTCCTCTCACCCCTTACGCCTGTCCCCATTTCTCCCTACAAATGCCTCTCGCCCCGTGCCTCTCAATGCATCTCGCCCCGTGCCTCTCAATGCATCTCGCCCCGTGCCTCTCAATGCATCTCGCCCCGTGCCTCTCAATGCATCTCGCCCCGTGCCTCTCAATGCCTCTCGCCCCGTGCCTCTCAATGCATCTCGCCCCGTGCCTCTCAATGCCTCTCGCCCCGTGCCTCTCAATGCATCTCGCCCCGTGCCTCTCAATGCCTCTCGCCCCGTGCCTCTCAATCCATGAGCTTGATCCCGTCCCCCCACTGCATATCCCCACCCCATGCCTCCCATGCCTCTAATCTGCCTCTTATCTCATGCCACTGATATCATACCTCCTTATCCCCACATTCCCCCCATCCCCCCATCCGCACATTCCCCCTATCCCCCTCTGCCCAATTTCCTCAATTCTCTCCTCCCCCCATGCGCCACCCCTCCTCCCGCACCCCTCACTCCCCTCCCCTTTCCCTTGCAGTGAACCGGGCAGTGGCACTTACCCGCCCGCCACATGCGCCTGCAAGTGGGCTGCTAGCGTGTTCGGCCCCTCGCTGCCCAACCTGCCCAACCTGCTCGCCCTGGACATTGCCGGTCGCCCTCTGCTCACTGGGCCTAGAGACTACCGGCCGCTCGCTGCTCGCCTCGCCCACCCCCCACGCGCGCATGCTGCCAAAACAGGCGCATGGCGGCTGATGTGGCGTCCGTGTGGCGTGGGCCCATGGTGATGGCGGCGGTGGAGAAGCTTGTAAGGGGGACGGAGTGGGGGCGGCTGAACGTGCTGCTTGGCTTTGGCTACGTGGAGCTCAGCTTGAGCCAGCAGGTCCGGCTGTCAGGTGCTTGGCAGATGGGATGGGATGGGGTAAATCCAGCACCATGGGAGGAAGGAAGGGGCGCTGGAGGTGGGTGGTCGCATTTTGCTGGTGGTGGCCGTATTGCGTATGGTTTCTGCTAGTGACTCGTGATGGTGCGTTTCAAAGTAGTCATGTAGGGTAACCACACTTCATCTCATTTCGCAAAGCATGCACGAAGTTGTTGAACATGCATAAGGGCGGTAACCGGCGAACAAAGGTCCGATGTCTTAGGGAGGAAGAGAAAACACCCTTCTCTTCCTTCTCCCATCCTGTTGTTTCTGTCTCACTCTATTGTGGTTCAGACAACACATGCTACTCCATCAACAGCAGTAGTAGCAGCAGGAGCCATAGGCGAGGAGGCGACAGTGGGAGAGCGGTAGCAGGGTGAACAGGTGGAGGGGGAGCAGGGGGTTTCTTTTATGGATTATGACGTGGCTGACCACCACCCACAGTACGCCTTGGTGGGCCACCCCGTGGTGGTGAGCCACGCAGCCGCCCTCTCACCGCCGCCTCCTCGCCTGTGGCTCCTGCTGCTACTACTGCTCCTGTTGAGGAAGTAGCATGTGTCGTCTGGACAACAATAGAGGGAAGGAGAAACAACAGGGTGGGAGAAAGAAGAGAGGGATGTTATGTTTCCTTTTCCTGCCTATCAAAAGCATGTGAGCAGGAATCAGCCCCTCGGCTCCTGCATCACCAAACGCACAACGAGGCGACCCACGCACGGTTGCAGGACCTCGTGGGTGACTTGAGTGATTTACTCTCATAGCTTAGCTTAGTTCATGTAGACAATTTGCTCATACCTTATTTGTCCCTTGCTTGTCAAGCGTGACCGTGTGGCGGCCCTGACTGACGACTCCAGGCACAGGCCCTCCACCCCCTCCCTTGCCCACACCCGGACCCGCCCATTCACCTCCTTACAGGGGCCGGGGACGGGGGACTGCCTCCTGGCCATTCCTTCCACCCTTTGCCTTCGCCTTAGCCTGACCGATTTACCAGGGCGCCGTTGCATTCAGGAAGTTGGTGGGGGTGGTGGGGAGCATGATTTACTTTACCTGCCCAGCCTGCTCCCTTACGCTATGGATTTCCCCCCTGCTGCTGACCTGCGCATCGAGTTCCTTGCGCAGGTGGGTTCCTGCCGCGGGTGGATTGGTGGGAGAGGTAGACTATTCTGATCATTTGCAGAGTATTGTGACTCATCATGGTTTTCCACCTCTCGCCCGGCACACATCCGCCATGCGATGCACTCATCCGCTCAGCGCATCGCTCTAATCCGCCTGCGCGTCTCCCTGCGGTGAAGAACGCGGGGCGAGCATGCCTCTGGTTCGCCCCGTTGGAGCGGATACCAGCCAGTGCCACCCCCTTCACCCCCATCCTCTAAGCCAGGCGCCCTGCTCCTCTCCCCCCACTCCTACACCCCGCCTTCCTCTCTGCTTCTCTGCTCGCGCCCATTCTGCAGCCTCCCCACTTCGGCCCCCTCCCCTGATTGTGCTGGAGAGAATCTGCACCGGCCCACTGCCCACCGGACAGGGGACGACGTTTCCTATTCCGTTTCTCCCTTACTACCTTTCTCTCCATTTTCCCCTGCAAACCCTGCTCACCTGCGCCCCTCCCTCGTCCCGTCTGCCTCTTGCGCTTCCTCATATCACCCCAGGGGGTGGTGTCCTGCGTGTGCTACATGTGAAGTGAGGTCCCTCCACTGCTTACATCCGCTCCGACACTCTTCAATCGCTCGATCCGTCCCATGTTCCATGTTCTTTTGAGTCTTAATGGTGTGCGTTACTTTTGCCTTGCTTTGCTACAATCTTGCTCCTGCGCAAGAACCAATCAAGCGAACTTTTGTTGCCATAAAGTGTAGCAGACGCTGGGGTGTAAATGCCTCTCTCTCCCTGCGTCCCTCTCTCCAATACCACCTGTGCGATCTCTCCCGCCTGTCAATCTCACCCCCCCATGCATTGCTTCTAACCCGCGTCCTGCCCCTTCCCATGCCTTGCCCCTCACATACCCTGCCCACCCACTCCCCAGGACCGTGCAGGGCACTACAAGCGCACAAGTAGATTCATCGTGCTTGAGGTGAGGCATAGTGGTGGGGGTGAGGCATAGTGGTGGGGGTGAGGCATAGTGGTGGGGGTGAGGCATAGTGGTGGGGGTGAGGCATAGTGGTGCGGGTGTGGCATAGTGGTGGGGTTGAGGCATAGTGGTGGGGGTGTGGCATAGTGGTGGGGTTGAGGCATAGTGATGGGGGTGAGGCATGGTGGTGGGGGTGAGGCATAGTGGTGCGGGTGTGGCATAGTGGTGGGGTTGAGGCATAGTGGTGGGGGTGAGGCATACTGGTGGGGGTGAGGCATAGTGGTGGGGGTGTGGCATAGTGGTGCGGGTGTGGCATAGTGGTGGGGTTGAGGCATAGTGATGGGGGTGAGGCGCGTGGCTTCGAATGGTGTGGCTGTCGGTGTTTGTCCGGGTGGAGGCTCGGATTCCTCATGCACTGCTTTATCATGCTCTGCCTGCCTTCAATGCCCTACGGCTTATCGTAAAATTCTTACTTAACTGTCATACCCAAGCGCCTGCTCGTTCATTCCCACCCTGTCTTCCTCCTTCTAGGTACCTGTCTGTCACACCCCCGCCATAATTTTCTGCACGCCTCTGCACATGATCCAATCAATACTCTCCACTCTTCTCTCCTCACATCCACCTGCCATCCTTTCCACGAGTGATGATGGGAAAGGCAGCATGTGCCCTTGCAATCCTCGTATCTGCGTGAAGTGAGGGTGTTTTTGCGTCTCGTCTCAAAAACACCCTCACTTCACGTGGAAAGGCAGCATGTGCCATTGCAATCCTCGTATCTGTCCGTCTCCTCTTAACTTCCTTGTGCCAGGCAGGTGGGGACGGGCAATGTTCTGCTGTCTAGCCCGTCTCCTTCCCATCTTCTCTCCATTCGACAGCAGCCATGAGGGGACGAAATTTAGTGAAAGAGTCTATCGAGGCATGCCTGTCCTTGTCCTTGTAAGCAATGTCTCTTTTCTCCCCAACTTCTCTGTCTTTTCTGCCTTCTCATGCCCTTTCTTGCAGCAGCTTGGAGTGGATTGCACAGAAGGCATGAGGCGACAGGAGTCAGTGGGGGAGTATATCCCCGTGGGGAAGAAGGAAGGCGACACTTGTGGTCACTACCTGCTGCCATGGCGCTTCCCTGGGTTGCTGAAGTGCTGCAGGGTGGCAGGCTGAAGTGGTGAATTGAGAGGGCAGAGGGGGAGGAGCAAGTAGAGAAGGAAGAGGAACCAGAGAAAGAAGAGGAGGAAGAGGAAGCAGAGAAAGAAGAGGGGGACGAGAAGCAGGGAAAGAAGAAAAAGGAGGACGTAAGGAAGAGGAGGACAAGGTGTGGAAGCAGGAGGACGATGAATTGGATCAGGGGGGAGGGCAAGATCATGATGAATATCACAGGCGCAGGGGAGAGAATGCACGACCGACAAGAGAGCAGAGCGGAAACATTCACAGTAGAAATCCACAGAGGAGAGTCTGAGGAGCAGGCAAATAATGATGAGAAGGAAAATGCAGTCGAGGGAGGCAGGGATGGTTGGATGAGCGCTGGAGCTGCACCCACCACTGGTTCACTCTGGCGTTTAGACTATTCATTGTAGAGGCTGTGAGGCGGTGCAGTGCGGAGCAATCCGGGTTTAGGGTACACATCGATGAAGGCTGATGGCGGGTGGGCAGTGAGCACACTACCAAATCGAACTTCGTGTTTATTACTTCAATGTTTGATCACCGCTCAACCCAAGTGGTTGCAGCGATTTATGCAACCGATCGACCCACGTGTCTCAAAGTATGGTTACAGCGGGAGATTGTCCAGGAGTTACGTGTGTGGAAAATCCCAGAGTTGTTGCAATCTGACAAGCTGTTTTCTTGTTGGAGTCCACTGTGACATCAGTAAGAATAGATGGTCCTTTTATCACTACACACCAATCAACGTGATGGCAAACCGTAAGAGTACATTCCGCTGTGGACCATGTCCCAATCGATGTGTCCCAATCGATTGGGACGCGTACGTACAGCATATGCTGCTAGGTGTCAGAATGCCGGGCCGCGCGTTGTTGTCGCCAAACGTATTGATCATTGGGTTGTGGAGATGAGAACGTGAAAATGGATGAACAATGAAATGAGTGAGTACAAGTACTAACCCTAATTGGGTTGTACCCCCTATGGGATACCCCACTATAGCCTACACAACAGCATAAGCTATAATGTTCTGACACACCCCCATAGGCAAAGTGGGGGAGAACAAGGGGTCACAAGACCAGTCAAGCAAAGCAAAGCAAAGCTCAGGGTGGATCACAAAGTCACCACACAGTCCGAGCACAACAACAAGGCCACAAGGCCAGTTCACATGCCAGAGGAGACACATGTATATATAAGACTAAACAAGCAAGAGCAGGTATATATATATGCAAGAGTACAAGCAAGGTCAAGAGGAGAGCAAGTGAGACAAGACAGGTACAAGACCCAGCTGAGTGCAGAAGCGCTGATGGTCACAAGGCGCGAGTGCCTTGGTGAACACGTCAGCAGTGTTGGCCTCAGAGGCCACGTACGCAAGCCGCAACTGTCCACGCTGCTGTAGCTTACGAGCAAGGAAGTAGCGGAGAGCAATGTGCTTCGTTCTGTGCTCCAAGCGCTGCTCTCGACACAAGGCCAGCATGGCCTTGTTGTCTACGTACAGCACTGGAGGAGAACGAGGCGGCTCTCCAAGGTCAGTCAGCAGGTAGGTGAGCCAGAAGAAGCTCCTGTGCAGCCATGGCCCCGGCGTAGATCTCAGCCTCACAACAGGAGCTAAGGACAGAAGACGAGCGAGTAGCCCGCCACGAGACAGAGCCGGAACCAAGATTGAAGGTGTAACCCTGTGACGACCGCTGCGTAGCCTGGTCGTCAGCCCAAGAAGCGTCCGCGTGCCCCGTAAGGACCACTTGACTCCGCCCTCCAAGCACTAGCCCCATGCCTGACGTACTGCACAGGTAGCGCAACACCCTCTTCGCTGCAGCCATGTGCTCTGGTCGGTGTCTCCCAGGAGCAACATAGCGTGCCAAGATGCTAAGAGGGTATGCAAGGTCAGGTCGTGTGCAGGTCATCAGATACATGAGGCAGCCAACAAGCTCTGGGTACGGGCCACTCAACTCTACGGACTCATCCGAAGGCAGAGCTGAGAGCGAGTGGCGAGTAGACAGAGGAGTGGCCTGAGGCGAGGAGTACGTGAAGCCGAAGCGCTGAAGGACCTGCTGCACCATGTGTGACTGAGTCAAGGTAATGGTGCGGCGTGCTCTGTCCTGGGTGATCTGCAAGCCAAGGTAGCTGCGCAGTTCACCCAGGTCTGTGCACGTGTGTCTCTTCAGCAGCTCGGACTTCACGTAGGCGAGTCCAGCAGTGTCCGCTGTGGCAAAGACCAAGTCGTCGACGTACACGAGGATGTAGAACAGCGGCAGAGAAGTGTCGGTGCGCAGAAACAACGACGGGTCAGCAGTAGAGGGAGCAAACCCAAGAGCCGCAAGCGTGGTCCTCAGTGTGTCGTGCCACTCACGCGGTGCCTGGCGGAGACCGTAGACTGGCCGTCGAAGGCTCCACTGGGTGCCAGGAGGGAAAGTCCCAGTGAAGCCAGGTGGACGGCGCAGCTAGATCTCCTTGTGCAGGCTACCCTGCAAGAACGCAGTGCTGAAGTCAAGAGAGTGAAGCTCGTAGTTGCGCTGAGCTGCTATGTGCAGCAGCACCCAAAGAGTGGTCATCTTCGGGGTGGGAGAGAAGGTCTGAACGTAGTCAACTCCCTGCCGCTGACTGAAGCCACGAGCGACGTACTGCGCCTTGAAGACTGGTGGAGAGCCCGGCGGCCGCTTCACCCTGAAGATCCACATGCCACTGACGATGTTCGCCCCAGGAGGGGGAACCGCGTCAACGTAGGTGCCTGTGGACTTCCAGGAAGCCATCTCTGCATCCATAGCCGCCTGCCATTGAGAGGAGTAGGGACCCTCTACGGCCTCCGCGTAAGAGCGCGGAGTCGGGATGTCTAGTGCATCCGGGTCTCCCTCAGGGGCAAGCAGTACAGACGTGAGATGAGGTGAAGCAGCGGCCAGACATTGGAACTCCTCCTGCCTCTCCTCAAGGACGTCCGTGCCAAGAGCACACTCACCCCCGACGGACGCAGGACAGATAGACGCAGACTCAGTAACAAGACTGGCAGCGTAGTCTAGACGACAACGAGCAGCAAAGTCGACGAGCTCAGCAACAAGCGCAGACGCAGCAGTGGACTCAAAAGAGGGGTCAGTGACGACAGTAGCAAGGAGACGCGTGACAGTAGGACTGGCAGCACGAAGAGAGTCCGACTCCAGGTCGGCAAGCGCAGGAAGAGAGGACGCAGGAGGAGAAGGCAAAGGGACACGCAGAGGAGCAGTGGACGGACGTAGTGACATCCGGTGCGTGCCAGGGACAGGAGGAGGACGCTGACGCGAACCGCGACCACTAGCGCGAGCAGCACGAACAGGCGACGCGGGACGAGACGCAGGCTCACAACGCTCAGCAAGACCTCCAGTAAGACAAGTGTAAGAGGAGGGAGAAGGCAGTGGGGAGGCGGGCTCTAACGGTGACGGTGACTGGACAGGCGGGGGACACTCGACAAGAGGAGAAAGACCAAGAACCTGCTGCAGGAGCGGAACGAAGTACGGGCGAGGCCGTGCGGCGACTCCAGACACAGCAGGGACAGTACCAGCACCCTCAGCGGCAGCACCAGCTCCACCAGCACCCCCAGCGGCAGGACCTCCAGCAGCACCAGCAGCAGGACCACCGCCAGGACAGACAGCAGAAGTCTCAGCACCAGCACCCTCAGCAGCGCCAGCTCCAGTAGGACCCGCAGGCCCAGCAGCTCCGGGACCGGCGACACCAAAACCCTCAGCGGCAGACGAAGCTCCAGCTCCAGCAGCACGCCTCCAGCGGCAAGCAAACCACTCGCGCAGCTCCTGTGGAGAGAGGGGCTCCCGCCGAGACGGAACACCCGAAAAACCGCCAGGCCTAGCACCGCCAGACGCCTCAAGGGGATGTCCAGCGGCCGCAGGCTCTGCACCTCCAGGCCC